GTTACAATTGATGTACCAGTACCTACTTACACTTCACCTTTTCCGTACTTTTACTTTTATTTTTCCAAGTCACATGACCAGTGTCTAGACTTAGCATATGACCGGTCACATGCTAAACATCGGACTTTAAACTTTATTTACAAATGTACAGTACCTCATGTATTTTAGTATATATACAGGAGCAATACATGGGGAAGGACTCAGAAAGTCCTCCTGTTGTCTACCAACAACTAACTTGTTCCTACCAAATGGGTAACCACTCCCACCTCTTCCTCTTCTTTTGAGTGTTGTTTTCGTTGTGCTCCAGTGCCCCAAGACTGTGTCTTGTTGGTGTTGCCACACCTGCTATCACTGGGAACCTCGTCACCTCGTCATCTTGTTGTTCTCAAACCTACCTTGTGCTACAATTAACAAGGTAGTGCTTGTCTATACTTGTCACTAAGCCCCTATCCTCTATAATTCAACTATCCCTCCTCCTCAAAACTCACACCCATACATCTCTGGGTTTTACTTTGAAGGATTGTCATACGTACCACCCCAAGAACAACCAGACCACTCCACTGTTCTAGGAGACAAAGCCCATACACAAGTTCCGTGGAATCTGGGAGGATTGTGTGTTAGTTTGTTTTGTGTGTGGTTTTCCAACTACAGTTCTCATCATCGACAACAAAGGCTGTAAAAGGAAAGTAAGAAGAATGGGGTGGCCCGTGCACCCAATATACCATCATCAGAAAAATTATGCTTCTGTTCACCTACATATAGCAAGCTGTTGCGATGTAATCACCTCAGTTGTTCCCCAGAACACTGAGGCAAGATATTTACTTAATTTCTACCAAATGTACCTAGCTTATCAGACTTCCTAGTCTTTGTGTTTATTTAGGTACTTACTTCAATACATGAGTTGTTCCCCAGAACACTGAGTCTTTGTGTTTATTTAGATCAGTAATCTCTTTGATATAGGATCAATTCATATTGGGAAGAGATTGTAAAATCCAATGTTATGTTTTTACGACATATAAACATATGTTTGTTCAATTTCTGGGGGAGAATTTGCTCATGGAGGCTTGCTGTAGTGATGGAAATTGTTCCCAAGCATAAGAAGGCTTGATTGGACACCATGGTTGGCAGGATATATCTAAGAGATCTTACAGTATGTTTGCAATTATGCATAAATTGACATCTGACCTAGAATTAGACATACAGATGCTCTGGGAGCCTTGGAAAGATATGCAGACCTTCCCAGACAACACATAAGTGTGTCTGAACAATTATAACACCATAAATTATGGGTAGGTATACCCTTTATCATGCATCCCTGACACATACGAGGATATCACTGGAAAAATAACATAAAAGTGAAATA